GAGGGGCGCGGGTTGGTGCCCACCTGCCCCGGACCCTGCACCCCCCAATCCCGGCCCGCGGCCCGCCTGGCCTCACCAGGTCCCGGGGGTTGCTGGGGCTCTGTCCGGTCTCGGGGTCCCAGCGGCTCCTCTGGAAGGGCAGCACCACGTCCCCGCGGCGGTCGGGGTCGAACACTGGGTCTCCGGGCGGGATGCGGATGTTGAGGAACTCGGCGGGGCAGCCAGGCCGATCGGTGCTCACCACGTCTGAGAGCAGGTGGTAGCCTAGGGCCAGGGCAAAGCGCTGAGCCAAGGGGCGCACCCAGCGCGGCCAGAGCCCCCGCGGCTTCCTGGGGTTCTCAGGAAGCGAAGGCCAGCGAGCCCCACCCGCCCCAGCTTCCCGGCGTTCCCTCCATCGCCCTGGTGGAGTCCGACTCAGCCACGGAGTCGCTGAGCCGCACTGCCCCAAGGGTTTCCAATGCTGTGGTTTCTATGGAAGCTAACCGCCACCTCTCTCTTCCTCAGCGCAGCTGAGGGCTTGCAATCAACCAAGCTTTGGGGCAGCAACCTTGAGGCCAATCACTGCACCCAGTGATGTTACTGGGGGAAGGGTGGGAGAGGAGTCACACCCGCGTGTGGGTCAAAGGGGTGTCAGGAAGGGTGACACTAAAGTAATGATCTATAAAAATTTTGTGCAGTGTTTCAGCAGAAATTCATTCGTTTTAAGAAAAATATCCCCCCAAAAAGAAAAGAAAAATACCCCTGTGGTTAGTTACAACAATAAAAACAATTGTATGCTCGGCTTAGGTGTATCAGGACACCTACAGGAGTAAAATTCTATGCTGTTTTATTTTTTGAACCTTCTTACTAAATTACATTCATGCTTAGAATCGTATCTACATTTCCAAGCTGTTTTCTTTGCTGTCAGAATTTTCACAGTGGCTGATTTATTAAAATTGTCTAGTGTTTTAGCTACAATATTGTGGCCCTTAGATTGTAAACCTAGATTCATAACTTTGTTATTCGTAAAGATTCATAACGTTTTGACTTTGTTATTCGTATTCATGTCATCCGAGGAATGTTACATCTACGCAATGTATAGCTATCAATCACGTTAGTCTATGAAAATGGCTAACCAACTTGGCTAAGGATTCTGGATGACCTGGTCCAGTAGGAGACCCTGGGGCGCACAGTGACAGTAAGAATCACACACTGGGTGACTTCAGCGAGCCTCAAATTCGAATCCTAAAAGTAATGAAAGAGGGTTCCCGCCACCTTCTTGGAAGACGCGCAGCCAGAATGCTCCTTAAAATCAAGGGTGGCAAGACTTGTCTCACTACCTTGGACACATTACCGGGAGAGAGCGGATCCTGGAACAGGATGCCATGCTTAATCAATTGAAGGCTATGGGAAAGAGGGAGACCGCTGGACACCGTGACAGCCCGACGGGCTCAAACATAAGGACCATTGTGAGGATGGCGCAGGACAGAGCACGGCACCCAACAAACACTCGGGGCACCGTTGTGAGGCAGCCTCCAAGGGCTGCTGGTGGATCAGACCCCTCTCCCTCAGCGCTGAGCTGGGCGTCAGGCGGACCCCCGTGGTTTCCCTGGGTGCGGGGGGGCACCTCGCCCTCACCAAAGAAGAGCCCGAGCACCGTGCGGTTGCGTCCCGAAGGCTGCCCGGCTGCCCCCTGCGAGACGGCGTTGCTGAGCTGGCGCGGGTTGGGCAGCAGAGGCTCCCCCAGGGCCTGGTACACGCCGTCCGCGTAATTGGCCGGGACCAGGCGCTGCAGCCGGAAGCCTGCGGGAGGGAGCGAGCGGGATCCGTCCGAACCCTCACTCCGTCGGGATCCCCCCTCCTAGCCTCCCGGCGCCCTGCCGCCACCTTCTCGGCGCCAGGAG